CTTTGTATATTGTTCTAACTTTTTAGATAATCAGAGAAAACAGTAAGACATCTTAATATATCCTATTTCACCAACAAAAATGTAGAATAATTAATCTCACATCAAACGAAAAAAGTAATTTTAGGATGTCCTAATAGGTTTTAACTTAAAACTAAATAAAATGTATATTGCAACTGTGTTTAAATAAATGAATGTTTTTATACCTGACTATAGCACCAGACAAACATTATTTTAGATCATAATGATCTGCATAACTCAAAATAGTCAAACTCCACATTATTTAAGTTGTTCTAGTATTGTTTTAGCATAACGATGTTAACTCCAATAATAAATATTCACATATTTTTGGGACGTTTTTTAAGGAAATTAAAAAAAACATGAATAATGTGATATTCTTGTTTAGTTTTGTACTATATAATATAGTTCATTAGGTAGTGATTTAGAAGCAAATTATGTTCTATTTATAGAATAAAAAATCACTCATAATATCTAAATATTTATACCTATTTATATTTTGGACAGGAAGACTATTTTATGTTTTTGGCTCTAAATACTTTTCTTAAGAATTTTAAAACCTTCCTTAGCTCTTTTGGGATATTCCATGCATATCTTAGAAGTTCATTTTGTTTAAACCTAAAACAAATTAAGTACAAAAAATGAACATTTAAACAATACACAAAATTAGTCTTTTAGATTAGTTAAAAAAAAGTGTCAACAAAAAAATAGCTATACCTTAAACATTCTTTTTGAAAGAAACTTAAGTTTCTCTACTTACTTGCTGTTTTAGTATTTTAGTAGCAGATGAATATAGTGTAGAAGTAGTGACAGGATTGATTATTATACTTCTTTTGTCGAAATTGCATTTTTCTTTAATATTTTCCTTCCCTGAGATCTGTAATAAAAATGCATTAGCATAAAAAGTTATTCAGGTGGTCACTTGTTGAATTCCTATATTTTGGAACAATGTATTTCTTTCTCATATCAAGAAAAGGAAACCTAAAAAAAAATAACAATAAACTTTACAAAGATGTGATATTAAAATAATAATAAGTAATTAACCTTTACTATAATCATTATGAGACGGATGAAGACGAACGTAGCTGGAGTGTACTTGCTCTTAATTTTAATTTTTCGATAAAAAAATAAAAAAGTTTAATTGCAAATTAAAGGTGATTGCCTAATGCACCGCCACTGATAATTAGGTTGTGTCTGTACTTACTTATGATATTATCTTGAAGAAGCATTTTCAACAGGCCTTTTACACATAAAGCATGTTTTCACCATATTATTAGAGATAATAAATCTTAAATATACATTTACAACCTTTACAACGTTATAAATAATAATATTTTCCGTAAAATACAAATAAGAAATTGACATGTGTCAGAAAGTGTCAGAACTGGCGCTCACAGAAAACTTCTGGCGCTGTCAAACTTGGCAACGCTGATTAAATAAGCCAATTACAGAAGAGGTATTTTCCCCCTCGGGGGGAGTAGATGTTGCTAATAAAATTTAGCGCGGGGAAGGGGGAAGACTCCCTCTAGTAGTAATTGCTCGGAGATAATATCCATATGGGAGTAGAAACCTCCGAGCAATTACTAATAGAGGGAGCGTGAAAACGAGTTTGTAGGCGATTGTTGTGTTAGCAACATCTGTAGAGGAAGTGAGGAAGCGGGCACAAGGGGGAAGGTAAACATCCTTCTTGTTCAGTGGCGTATCATTTATCTATAAAAACACACATTGTCCAAACGTTTTAATTGTAAAAAAAAAACTAAAAAATTTGCTAATTTTACTATTTTTTAAATGAATACCGTCATATATATGTCTAATGCAGAAAAAGAAACAAAATCACTGTAAAGGTCTAATTTTTTCAATTGAAGAATAAAACCTTAAAATAAATTTTATTATAAATACAGGAGCAACTAGTTTCGGCCTTACAGGAACATCTTCAGGCCTGCAATACAATAATCTTTAATTATTATAATAGGTTGGTCACTTACGAATAACATTAAATAGTATAAACCACATAAATGGATCCATATTGTAGCGTTACAGCATTATAGAATTAAAGTTGTGAAAATAAAAGAGCAGTGCAAACGTAACTAAAAATAAGAAAACTCAGTACGGAATCTACAAGAGAAGAGGTGAGAATGAGCAATTACGAATGCAAAGCTGATAATGTAGTGGTATAGTCCCCATCAAAGAAGGTCTGGATATGTTAAAGAGGACGGCGTTTTCTCTGTAAATCTGGAGAATTTAAGGATGGAGGGAAGACGAATCTTGCTGGCTCAGGTGTAGATGGCTAGAAAAAGGAGCGTGTAGATGAAAGCTCCAGTAAATATCGTCACTTTCGTCTAATTTTTATTCTCACTCACCGTTTCGGCTTTATCTTCGAAATTCATTTTTAAAAGGAAATAAAAGTAATCATTCATACAAGCATATAATAAAACTACATGAATTTATTATATTTAATAAGCTAATAAACGTTTGTTTTAATGAAAAAAACATATATGTGAGTATAAAAAATATATAAATAGATAAGATTAATATCAAAATCAATTTGAAAATACAACAGATAATAAAATGAAATAAATTAATACAAGTACAAATAGAAAGTTAATAACATACCTTCTAAAAGTAACACATTTTAAGTAGATAAATGTTTAAAGAGTTTATTCCTGAAAATAACTAATCTAGCGTTTTTCCCCTTTTTAATATTATGAGGGTTTTTGTAGTTGAAGTGAAAATTATAATTTATTTTGGTCTTAATAAAAATTTAAACATAGGTTATCAAAGAGTAAAATTCATAATAGAACTTTATAATCTTAAATCGTTATCAAAAATTATTAATGGTAAAACTTCAAACAATAGATTCTTAAACAAATTTCTAGTTTTTGTTTTGCAAAAGACTTTTTTGCCTTCTTCGGTTGCCTCTGCCACTTTTCTTTTAGTAGTTCCGAGGAGAATTTTCCTATGGAAACCAGTAGAACCATCAATTGGTTGGTAAAATTTTGATATTTTGAGTAAGTCTTGATAAACTTTCTTCTTAGGAAGCTATAACCTTATGGAGAATAAAAATTTAATGTTAGATCAAAAGCTCTTAATTGAGAATTATATTTGCAAATGCCGTTTTAATAATATTTTCAAAAGTTCTTGGAATCGTTGTTAACAGAAACCTGCAAAAAAATATATAATTTTATTCCTAAAATATAAGATATCACACAATGCACATTCATATAATATCATTGTGCTAGAAAAATACTAGGTAGTTACTGAGACAATTTAAAAAAAGTATTTCGAGAAACTCAACTTTTAATGTCATCATTGTACTTAACTTTTTTATTACTAAATTATTAATAATGTCATTTTGTGTAGTTCGTTGTGATTTGTATAATATATATTATTAAAACCCATCGTCAATGTTAATGTGCCAAGTTTTTTTAATAATTATGTCCTTGTTATAGTAAAAAACATTTTTAAAGTTTTCTGGATTTCTGCTTTAAATTATCGTACAATTGAACTGACTAATTGTGTGTTTCAGTAAAGGTATATCTCTTTTTTGTTATAACAGTCTTTGTATATTGTTTTAACTTTTTAGATAATCACAGAAAACAGTAAGACATCTTAATATATCCTATTTCACCAACAAAAATGTAGAATAATTAATCTCACATCAAACGAAAAAAGTAATTTTAGGATGTCCTAATAGGTTTTAACTTAAAACTAAATAAAATGTATATTGCAACTGTGTTTAAATAAATGAATGTTTTTATACCTAAAAAAAAATAACAATAAACTTTACAAAGTTAATTTTAATTTTTCGATAAGAAAATAAAAAAGTTTAATTGCAAATTAAAGGTGATTGCCTAATGCACCGCCTCTGATAATTAGGTTGTGTCTGTACTTACTTATGATATTATCTTGAAGAAGCATTTTCAACAGGCCTTTTACACATAAAGCATGTTTTCACCATATTATTAGAGATAATAAATCTTAAATATACATTTACAACCTTTACAACGTTATAAATAATAATATTTTCCGTAAAATACAAATAAGAAATTGACATGTGTCAGAAAGTGTCAGAACTGGCGCTCACAGAAAACTTCTGGCGCTGTCAAACTTGGCAACGCTGATTAAATAAGCCAATTACAGAAGAGGTATTTCCCCCTCGGGGGAGTAGATGTTGCTAACAAAATTTAGCGCGGGGAAGGGGGGAAGACTCCCTCTAGTAGTAATTGCTCGGAGGTAGAAATAATAATGAAATATCTTCCCTTCACACTTTCATCTAGAATTAGGACTGACAAAGTTAATACATAAATATATATATTTTGGTGTAGTTTTGCTTCTTTTTTAAGTTAGCTTATTTTATGATTTTTATAAAAGTTCTTTTTTTAGAAAATAAAATACAGGATTGTATATTTTTTCCAGCCTTTAAATATATGCCGAATTGGATAACTGGATTATGAGCAGACAATGATTATAGCATTTCAATGTATTCCAATTAGTTAAATGTCTACTTAAAGAAACTCTCATTACATTTATGATAGATCTACCATAAATTTAGAAGGAAAACGGCGCAAGAAAACCTACATCTTTTTTTTTTAACAAATTTTTCTTTTCTCAAATTGTAAAACGTTATGATATGAATTTAAAATTATATTGCACGAAAGCGCAAATCGGTCAAACGACGAAAAGAGCGCTCGACTGGAGCGCAAACCGTTATTGATCCGTAAACAAAGCATATAAATCCTCCGGATATTCCAAAATATTTTTTTAAAAATTACCCCAACGAAATATTGAAAACTATTTTTGAACCCTCAAAGTGAAAATAAATTTTTTAAATTAGGTAAAGACATTGTTTAAAATTTATAAAAAAATACAAACAAGGATAATAAATAAGTTCCTTTAATTTTTATTGAAACTAATTCAAGATATCCAAACTAAACCGTTTTATCAACATAATAAAATTAATTTATTTTGATATTATTATTCTTCAGGAATTTGGGTCAAGAACTGCCGCAAATAATTATTAATAATAGCAACTATCTGGAGAAATTATCTAGTTCAGTTTGTAATTTTCAATCACTGTCGTGAATAACATGTTCTTCGAACTCTATTGGCAGTATTTTGTTGCTGGATTAGTTTTGTACGTCGTTGGTAGAGGTGGATATGCATTATTCGTGAAAAATCAGAAGAAAAATCGACAAGGATATGAAAAGAAAAACGAAGATAATGAATCTCCTTATAAAAGTAAGTAATTAACAATAAAATAAAAGAGTATCAATCTTCTCAAATTTGGTCATGTTAATACATCTATATGTATAATCATTTAGAAGCTTTTTTTATAATAGATAACATAGAAAATACCCGATACAATCATTAAACAAGCTGTGGCCACATATGGAGTTCCGCAGGGCACAAATCTAGACCCAGTACGTTTAAATCTATACATCGAATTGAAATTCAAATTTATTCTTACACTCCAGTTTGTATACATGCAAATAACATTATAATTAAAATTAATTAAAATTATAAATAGCTTCTTCGGAGGAGGGGTGACTTAGATACTAGTGTCTGTTTTCTCTTCCAAAGTGGCCGTATAAAAAAGAAAAAAGTTATGCAATATAAACGACACATATAAAACATGATATAGACTTTTTTTTGTTAGGGGAGTCAGAGAGGAGCAAAACTAGAAAGGTCGGAGTTCTAATTATTATATTATAAATTAATGGAAGTATTTATTAAGGAAACATTAAAAGATTTTGAAAATATCAGCTTTTTTACTTCCGTTAGAAATTGAACTGATTTGGAAATGTGTTTTATATTTATAGGAAGCAGGTTAAAAAGCTTCTGGTCATAGTAGAAAAAACTTCTTTGTGTTACCGATTTATTAAACAGAATGTTCAAATTTAGGTTAGTTGCAGTTCTAGTATTTTAACGTTTTTTTACTTTATGAAATACCTATATCTGCTATTTTCGCATATTCTCTATAATTTTTGTTTCATACCTGATTTCTCTAAAATGGAACGTATTGGAAAAATTTCAGGAAAAGGGTAAAATTTTAATTTTTCAGTATTTTCATTAGCAATGAATTATAAAAATCTGATGTGTCCAACACATGACTTTCCTATCTAGTTATTATAGGCTTTTTCCGGTTATTTTGTACAACCTATTGCAGCACTTCTATAAATGTTTAGAGGATAAACTTAATATACACATTTTCCACATACATCTAACTCCAAACATTTTTCTATAGATATTCATTGAAAACGAAAATACTGAAAAATTAAAATTTAGCACTTTTCCTCCAATTTTTCCATTACGGTCCATTTTAGGAAAATCATGTAAAAACAAAAATTATAGAGATCGATATCGCAAACAACTTTTAGTCAAATTTCTCGAATATGGACCATTTCAGAAAAATTTGGCATAAAACAAAAATTATAGATAATAATATTTGAACAATTTTCTTCTCCAAACATAAATAATAGATATATTCCATAAAATATAAAAACGAACTATTATAAAGTACCCCCCAGATGTTCCGACTTTGTCAAAAATCTAATCATTTCACCTCAGGCCGAAATAACACTTAAGTTTAAAACTTAATGTTTTTTCCTTTATCCGTTTTCAAGTTTTTTCAAAATTCGAAATTAACACATTTTCTCAAATATCTCAAATATAGTTCATTTTAGAGAAATTATGTATAGGATAAAAAGTATAGAGAATTATATTGCAAAGAACTTTTATTTGAACAATTTTTTTACATTTTTTCAAATTTCTCAGATACGGACTATTTTAAGAAAAGATTGTATGCAACAAAAATTATGGACAATAATATTGTAAGTATTTTTATTTGAAGAATTTTCTTCTCCAAACGTAAATAACAGATATATTACATAAAATATAAAAATAACCATCTATAAAGTACCCCCCCACCCAGATGTTCCGACTCTGCCCAAAATCTAATCAGTATACTGGATGCCGGAAAGCTTTAGTTTAAAATTTGGTATTTTCTTTGTATCCGTTCATGAGTTATCGATGATACAGACACACACACACACACACACACACACACACACACACACACACACACACACACACACACACACACACACACACACACACACACACACACACACACACACACACACACACACACACACACACACACACACACACACACACACACACACACACACACACACACACACACACACACACACACACACACACACACACACACACACACACACACACACACACACACACACACACACACACACCCCCACACACACCCCCACACACACCCCCACACACACCCCCACACACACCCCCACACACCCCCACACACCCCCACACACACCCCCACACACACCCCCACACACACCCCCACACACACCCCCACACACACCCCCACACACACCCCCACACACACCCCCACACACACCCCCACACACACCCCCACACACACCCCCACACACACCCCCACACACACCCCCACACACACATACACACACACCCCCACACACACCCCCACACACACCCCCACACACACCCCTACACACACCCCCACACACACCCCCACACACACCCCCACACACACCCCCACACACACCCCCACACACACCCCCACACACACGCGCGCGCGCACGTGCAGAGAGACATAATCGCGAAATTATTCAAAATGGATTCAAGGGACCCCAAAACGTAAAAAACCGTCGAAAACTCGAGGTCGAAAAAAATCATGATTCCTATACTTTCCTTATCTGTATACAGACAGGAAAATAAAAATTATGAAATGGCTAGACAAACATATAAACGTTAATTGGGTCTATTCTGTAACAATTCCTTTATATTTAACGGCCTTTAAAAATAGTGGCGACCTTTAAAAATATGTTTGTATTCGTTAATTTACTTCTGTCATTATTTAAACAGATTTCTTTAAGATAGTCCTCTAATGTATTTTAAAGATCCGTTTAAATAATGACGGAAGTAAGGAAGAAAATATTTTTAAAGGCCGTTAAATATAAAGGAATTATTGCAGAATAGACGCCATTACCTTATAATATGTTAAATAATTAAATTGCTTTCATTTTCAAAATTATGCTTTAATAATTTCAATGATCAGTGTGTTATTAAAATGGCCATTGACAGTACGATTTCTTTGTTGGCTTCCTCAATCTGTGACGTGCACTAAACACGCGTATTGGTTTTCTACTACTATATGATTTATTGGTTTTATCTTCAAACAATAATTAATTGTTTTAATTTGATCATTTCTTGTTTTAACCTTAATTTGTCCTCATGTTTAATACATTTAATTATTTTATTTTATATTTTTGTTTAATCCCTAAAATATGTACTTGAATTCAATGTTCTAAAATTTAAGAGTAAACTGAACACCTTGAAAATTTATTATTCCCTCTGAACTTTATTTTTAGTCCGATTTTTGTGAAATTTTCAGGAAATACCAATAATAACAAAACTTAGGGTGGAGAAACCTTTAATTTTTTGTAAAACTTATTTATTTTAAATATTTTTTAATGAAATTAAAAAAAAAACATTTACAGGCTATTCTGTATTAAATCTATCAAAATTTACTGTTTTTTGTTTTAATAAATATCTAGTAGTTTTTAAATAGGAGGATTTCTTACTTTTTTTCTTAAACGTCTTTGTAGAGTACTGTTTTATCGCTGCACTAATTTAAAGCTTTCAATATTTTCTAGACCCATGATATCACGAACTATTCCCAGTGGCGCGCATATAACTATAATTTTGTATTAGAAAATCTTTAAAACATTTTTGCCGTCTCGAGAGAAAATATTTTAGAACGATCAAAATTTGATGCTAATCTACGGTTTTCCCTTTGAACCCCACTGTACATTAACTTCCCTATAACATTATCTATCAAACACCATTTTTATTGCATTTTAGGTAACCTATACGAAATGAAAAAATAGACATTAAGTGGTGAGATATCTGCATGTTCTATTAAACAATAAATTTAATTAGACAAAATGTTTTTTTTTTTAATAAGTTTCAGTTTATTTAGCTTACGGTAACACCTATTTCAACAGGAAAGTAACAACATAAAATGTATATATTTCAATTTACATTTGCATGTACTAAAATATCATTTTAAACAAATACAAGGTAAAAAAAGGTTGAAAATTTACGTGAGCAAGCTCAATATTACAAATCAATTAATGAAAACCAAAATGCATCAAATCCGATTCTGTAGTTCAGGTCACGCTCCACTCACGCTCCATTCAAGGAGCGATACAATATTGTGACCAGTTTTACCAGTCTAGTACAATTGTACTAGATCTAGTACTTTATCTAAAAATCTGGTAATCTAGTACACTCAAAGCAAAATCTAGTACTTTTTCGTTTTTCAGCGTATCTTTTTTCATTTGACTTGTAAAAAATATTTAAATCAGCGTCAGTGTAATATGTTAATACCTCAACTCCTTGATTGTGAGCGTAGTATGACCTGAGTGCCTAGTAAAAATCGGCCTTTGTTTTTTCTTGCTTGTCAACTGTTACAATTGCGATGGTTACTTTCCTTGCACCCTGTATAAGTAGCTAGACAGGGTGGACTTTAACTAATGGGACATAGAGTAACTACAGATTAATTGAACCGGATACGTCTTGTTAAAATATTGCTGTGAAAAAGATGCCGGGTGTCAAAGTTAAAAAATTTTTTTTTCTAATTTTGACATATAAAATTGCATTTTTTGTAATCGCAGCATGTGTCAAAATATAAATACACTACACGTCGTTGATAATAAATAATTATTGTGATTTTCTATCTGTCAATAAAATGATGCATATACAAGAAAGTAATATTGTCACTAATGTTTTACCAAATTTACCAATTTTATTAATAATCTAGTCAAAATTAGAAAAAATATTGCATGAAACACGTTACGAAATTTTAATAGATATTGTAAGTAGGTATTAAGTATGATTTTAAGTATAATTTATCGAAACAAGTTATAAATTAATTTTTTTTAAATTAGTTTATACATGTCTAGCTATGACATTATTAATATATTGTGTAAAAAAATGAGTGGAAATAAATTCATTATTTAAAAAAATCCTTCACAGATGAACTCTGGAACAAATACAAATGCACCTAATGTTATTAACGCCTCTACAACATTTTTTCAATTATATTTACCTAAGGCATATTTAGTCAAATCCTGATTTTTTATTAATATTCTATGATTACTATTACTCTATGTTCACTATATAGTTCATAGCTTCACATAAAAATCAGTAAATTTTCTCATTTATTTTCTGATTTCCAATTTCTTTTACAGTGACGTTATCGTCTTCATCTTCATCATCCAACTCTGACGAGGAAGACGAAGATCAAGACCTCTTACCAGCACTACCAAAAGATTTGCAGCACATTCCTTTAAATTTTGAAAAGTTACCTGCCGAAGAATCTTTGAAGAGATCCGAAGAATATTATGAGTTGATGAATAAAAGAAGAACAGTGCGTCATTTTAGTAGCGACACGTTTCCAATTGAGATTATACATAATATTATTAAAACAGCAGGTTGTCTTTTGTCTGTCAATATGTCAATATTATTAGTTAACTTGTCTTTTTCTTCTCCCGCTCCTCTTCTTCAATATTTTATTTTTTAGGTACAGCACCAAGTGGAGCTCATACAGAACCTTGGACCTATGTGGTAGTCAGTTGTCCGGAAACCAAGCAAAAAATCAGAGATATAGTCGAAAACGAGGAAGAAATCAATTACAAAAAACGTATGGGAAAAATTTGGACCACAGATTTAAAACCGCTGAAAACGAACTGGTTAAAAGAGTACCTTACCGAAGCACCATATTTGATTTGCATATTTAAACAATTGTACAGTGTAAAAGAAGATGGAAAAAAGAAAATGCACTATTATAATGAGCAAAGCGTTAGTTTGGCTACGGGTATTTTACTAGCTGCAATACAAGTAAGTAGAAAAACTAAGAAATAAAGGCATACCCAGCATTTGATTGTGTTTCTATGACCGAATTCGCTTTAATTGGGGCATCATCAGGCAAATGTAAACAGTCCTTATGGAATCTCCAATTCACACTAAAAATAGGAAAATGAAATTGAAGCAGAAATTGGTCTCTATGAATCAAGACCATAGTCTATTTGTTCAGAAGTTGTTCCTTTAATATTAATCAGTAGCTTCTTTATTACTGTTAAGCCGTTGAAAATCCTTATTGTTTGTTAAAGACACTTTATTGTCTCGTATCAATGTGTTAGATAATTCCTAAAAGTTTTTTTACAATCTTTATCTCTTCGCGGTTTTAATGAAACCTTAACCTTACTTTCTAGAAGTTGATCCTGTTTTCTTCTCCTCTCATTTAATCATTGTCATCTACTTGTTGCTGAGTTTTATCACCTTTCTTAATTATTATTCTATTAAATTTGCCATTTATTCGATTTTAGCAAGTTTGGTCAACGAAAAGTCCATAGAACTAAATTTTGTAATTTCTTAAAAGTTATGGTTCCAATATTATAAGGTGGGCATAACAATTATGAACCTGCTAAATGTATACTTAATAAATATAAAACTTATATTATGATTGATCTTTTTAATACTTTTCATTAACTTTTAAATTGTTGTGACTGTTAAACATACAGTTGTTCATTGTTCATACTTTTAACATTTTTATGTTTATCTGTTATTATGTGGCTTTGACAATAAATATTTTAGTTATTGTTATCCCATTGTCATTCAAAAATGTATTTTATAATTATTTTTCAGTATGCTGGTCTAGTGTCTTTAACTTCAACCCCGCTAAATTGTGGACCAGCTCTTCGAGTTCTTCTAGACAGACCTCAATCCGAAAAATTAACACTACTTATTCCTGTTGGATATCCAATTGAAGATTGTCTCGTTCCAGATTTAAAAAGAAAACCTTTAGAAGAGATTTTGGTGCAATTTAACTAATATTTATATAATGTTGTATTTAGAATTTACAATTCTACAACAAGGGTCTAGTTTAAATTACTTACTACTAGTTTAAATGTATTCTATACATAGAATATAGACTCTTGTTATAGAATTGTTAATTCTAAAAACAAAGTAATATTTAGAACATTTCTTGTGTGTCGCGCATACAAAATAGCACAATGTGTGTAAATTTGAAACACCTTGTATAATATATAGGTGCCTATAACAAATAAAGCGAAAAATAGTATGTAAATAAAACAGATAAAAATAAAACAGTGTTTAACAGATTTGTAAAATTATGTCTAAGATTCAAGGTTATCAAATACATGAAATCCACAACAAAACAGTAACGTCGCCATTCGTGTGGGCCGAGGGCATTTGGTTTTTTTATCAAAATAATGAATTATTTTCTTCAAAAAAATGTATGGGAACTTTTGAAAACTTTATAACATCTATTTTTACTACTAGTAAAAATTACGCTATTAAATAACTGCACTATAGTAACAACAGGGCTGGTATATCTTAGGGGGTCGCGACATTGCGTCCATCTTGGGCACCATTTTTTCTGAAATAGTAGTCGCCAGGCCTGCAATTATAAAAAAAAATATCACCGGTTATTTTTAAATGACATTTTCATTATAAAATGCCCAGATTTTTTAGGATAAAATATTTCAATTTTCATATAGATGAGGATGCAGAACAAATTGTTGGTCCCTTTTTTAGGACTCCAGTCCCCTAAGCCTATTTATTTTAGGTCTTTTTAAATTGTTGGTAGGTATTATTCACTTCTTTCGTTTGTTTTTATTTTGAATAATACTTTTGTGTTATATCTTGTGATTTGTTTTCTATACATTTTAGCATTATTTGTTCACTACATCTTACAAAGGATGGCTTTGAAATACCTTTCCAACAAAGGTACTTTCATAAAACTGGCCGAAATTTGAAACCGATTGCAGTTCCTACAGAAAATCTCAAATAAAAAAGAAGCATTTGTTTGTATGCAGAATAACAGTAGCATAGAATAACAAAGCTGGCAAAAAAGACGGACAAACCGTTGTCTAGCTTTGTTAATAGTTCATGGCAACAGTGTTAACATCAGACCACAACAAGAACAACCAAAGTTTAGTAATCAGGCAAAATATTTCGGTATTTCCGAATTATAAACTTATTAAAACTACTGTCATGAAATTCCTAATCCGACCCTGTGTACGCGCGACCTTGGAAGTCTACCACTCGATTCATGATCGAAGCAACGCTGACGTGTGAAAACAGTCGGACCGCATTCTCGAATATACAAGAAACGACGAAATCTTCTGGGTATGCCGTTGAAGCTTCGAGAAACTGCCGTTGAGTCATAGAGATGGAATTTTCGGGAGCGCCCAGAAACGACGAGCACAGAATTGGATTGATATAAATAGCCGACTCATCGGCGCACAGTTTAGTTTAATTCAGTGTATTGGAATGAAAAGTTGAAGTGTAATAAATAAATTAGAATTGTTAGTTAGTGTCTAAGTATTATATAAATTAAATAGTACGTCTGAAATAAATTGTAAATAGTGTGTTTTAAATAAATAAACTATAAATAAATTACACTATAGTAGGAAACATGTATGGCATCGAATAGGAAATTAACCAAATTAGCATGTCTAGTGAATATTACATTTAAAAATATATTTTTAATCAAAATTTTTGGCTTTCTACTTCAATAGTAACCATATAGAAATACATGTGCATTTTATAGTATTATGAAAGATTCGGATCACATGTACCCACAATTAATAAACATTATTAAACTAAAATAAACCAATTTAAAATAACACCTGTTTTTTATTTAAATCAAACGTTAAATATATGTTCTTATATATATTAAATACATAAATTAGTCTCAACCACACATTTTTTTGTTTTTAATTCTAGTGGCGAAATCTATATTTAAAAGTGACAACTAATTCAGAGCTCAGTGGTTGAGTGCCAACTGAGCGTGTTTCCGGGTGGTGGATAGGAGAACGGCCAAGTTTTCCTTGGTTAGTAGTAGTCATAAGTAGAGTGTGAGAGCCTAAAAATCCTTTAAAATCTTTTGGAAAGGCTACCGCCGCGAACTAACTCCCCCAATCTAAGGTGTAAGGTAACGTGCCGCCGGATGAATTGTCGCAGGGGCAGATGCGGCAGTAAACGTTTTCCTGAGGGAACCTGGCGACACCCTCTTGTATTTAGCCTTGCCGACGCATGTGGGGCTCTGCGTCGGTCGACCTTTCCTTCCCTACCTACTCGTGGGAACCATATGGACTCAAGTACATAAAAACACAAAAACAACCCAAAGAGGCTGGGATAAGCTACAAGGATGCAGCTACAAGCCACCTGAAAGTAGCTATAATAGACAAGGATAATCCTTACGGTAAGATAACTACCAAAAGAGAAATCCTTGTCAAAAAGACACTGATGGGAGAGTTGGACAAAGCAATCTTGTTTGCCTACTGCAGCAAAACCAAGCCACCCACATTCAGGTCTTGGTCGCACTCTGGTGAAATCATCTGAGTAACCTGCGACGATGACCTGACGTTGGAATGGAAAAAACCCAAGCTATCAACCTTAAAAACATAGGAAGGAGCAACACTCGCAGTTGTGAGGATGGATGAGCTCCCCAAGCTCACCAAAGCCTCTCTCTGGATCCCAGGGTAAGCGCAAGCTGACCTTGACGAGAAAGAGGTTGTGCTCAGGCGACTTGATTAAGGGGCAAAACACAGACTTGCATGTGGCGAAATGGTGCTCCTTTCATCCTGAAATCAAAAAAGGCCCTAAGGGTCATATCTTCGTCTTCAGCATCAGAGACGAAGACATAGGAACCCTAAAGGCCAAATCAACGAGGATGAGATATGCGTTCAGCTCATTAATTATATTAATGGTCGAAAAAGGCTGAAGCGGGGCCCAGTGAATACTCCTTGGTAAAGGACCCTCCCCCCCCCCCCCCCCCAATTTAAGCCAACAATGGAGGACGTCGAGGCAGAAAAAATGGCAATCGGTGACCTCCAGCAAGAAAACTTCGAGGAGCCACGAGAGACCACCCCCTCCCCACTGTCGGAGGAAAGGATGGTCGAATAAATAACCACCTTGCTACCCAATTTTCAACGAAGGACCGGGAAGCAATAGAAAAGGTAACGATTATACAATGTAACTTGCAACACAAAAGGGTGGCTACGGCAACATTATGCCGCCGCCTTGATGAGCTGCAAGATACAATAGCACTCATCCAGGAAACATTGATAATAAAAACCAAAATTTTAGGTCTTAAAAATCTAAATGGTTCAATTTTTAGCTTTCGCCGCAGCCAACAACCTAGGAGAGCCATTTATATTCCTAGGAAATACAAATCCCACTCAATGCTTCCCAACTCCTATTTAACTACGGTTAGGATGGAATACGCCTTCAAAAGGGAAAAGATAACGTTAATCCTGGCATCTGCATACTTCCCCTCCCACGCAACCATGCCACCACCCAGCAAAGATATGATTGAATACTGCCTGGAATAGAAATTTGAGCTGGTAATATGTTGCGACTCAAACGCTCATCACTTCAGTTGGGGCAGTAAGGACAACAACGCTAGAGGTAAGTAATTTTATGATTATATAATTACCAAAAATATTTGTATTTTAAATAAAGGTAAACTGGCAAATGTCTGATAACATTTCGACGTCAGACCACCGCTGGTTAAGATTCAAAATAAACTTAATGTTGCCGAGCTTCACGCTATCTCGGAACCCTAGAAAGACGGACAGGGCAACCTATGCTCACCTTCTCCAAGAAGCTCTGAGAGAGAAGGAGGCCGAAACACCAATCAATAATACTGATTTGGAAAAGTACACGAACACTATCCAAAGCACAATAAACAATGCATATAAGAAATCCTGTCCTCTGAGGCTGGTCCAACACGATCAGACGACTACCGCATGGTGGTGTCACGAGTTGGATTACCTCAGGAAGATTAGGAAAGTTAGGAAATCTTTTAATAAGGCAAGAACCACAAAACTCAAAGAGGACTGGGATTCTTACAAATCTCACTTCAGAGAATACAAAAAAATCGTCAGACAAAAACAGAGAGATGCATGGAGATCCTACTGCGAAGAAATCGAAGATTTCCCGCAGGTAGCGAGGCTTTAAATAGCACTCTCAAAAGATCCACACCGAAGCATCGGTGCGCTAATCAAAGAGGATGGCACAAAAACTGCCACGAAGATAACACACTTCCCTGACGTGGCGGATATCCCTGTTATACAATTATCAGAACAATTAGTGATATTATTAGCAATATTTACTGCGCACAGAATGCAAACCTTTAGCCTTATATTAAATTATACAGTATATTATTTGAAAAACTGGTAGGGTCAAGTCATCAGGTAGAAACAAATTACAGCAATCTTTAACTCTCCCTTTCAAACCTCAAGTCGTTGGGTAAAGTGGACTGAACTTAGATATAAGGTCCATAGTAGGCTGGTCAATTGAATCTTCTTGTTTTGCTGTTTTATAACCGGCTTATAAGGCAGGATTCCACCTCTTTTTTAACCGACTTCAAAAAAGGAGGAGGTTATCAATTCGTCGCGATATTTTTTTTTATGTATGTTCAGCGATTATTCTTTAACACGGTGTCCGATTTTAATGATTCTTTTTTTGTTAGAAAAGGGGTATTTCAGGGGTGCTCCCATATAAATTTAGTCAAAATTTAATAATTGGGTCCATCAGAAAATCCTCAAACTCTTCATTTTTTATGTATGTTCAGCGATAATTTTTTCACACGGTGTCCGATTTCAATAATTCTTTTTTTGTTAGAAAGGGGCTACTTTAGGGGTGGTCCCATATAACTTTGGTCAAAACCTAATAATTGGATCCATGAGAAAATACTCAAACTCTTCATTTTTTATGTATGTTTAGCGATAATGCTTTACCACCTTATCCGATTTATACGATTCTTTTTTTGTTAGTAAGGGGGTACCTCAGGGGTGGTCCCATATAAATGTGGTTAAGATGTGGTGATGGCATCTGCACGTTTTTGAAGTCGGTTTTTTTAAATTTTTAATTTGTAATACTTGTAACCGACTTCAAAAAAGGAGGAGGTTATCAATTCGTCGCGATATTTTTTTTTATGTATGTTCAGCGATAATTTTTTCACACGGTGTCCGATTTCAAATATTCTTTTTTTGTTGGAAAGGGGCTACTTCAGGGGTGGTCCCATATTAATTTAGTCAAAATCTAATAATTGGGTCCATGAGAAAATCCTCAAACTCTT